GCTCGGCCACGTGGTGCTGTGCGCCCGGTGACGGAGGTTGCGCGCGAGGTGAGGGAGCGGTTGGGCAACATGGCGGCGGCGGCGGCGGTGGCGGTAGAGGCGACGAGCACAGCGGCGGCGGCGGCGGAGGAGGAGGAGGATGGGGGCTACGGAGATGGGGAGCGGCTGGATTTCCTAAAGGAGCGACACGTGCGGTTCTTCCAACGCTGCCTTCAGATCTTGCCGGAGCGCTATTCGTCCCTGGAGACCAGCAGGTACTTTCCGGTAAAGGGTAGAGGCGGGGAGATGCTGGCGCTCTCTGCCCGGTGGGAGACGAGCGGCCCTGGGGTGCTCGAAAGGAGGGATGATGGGCGAAAGTAGTCCCGCGACGGGACCTTCCTGAAGCCGCATCTCTCCCCCCTCCCCCGTGCCTCGCTCCAGATTCGACCCGACTGCCGTCGGAGAGACCGCCTCGCCCTTCCCGGCGCTCGCCTCTTGTCCTCCTCCCGGGAAAGCTCGGCGTGAGGCGATTCTCTCTGCCTCGAAGGGCGCCCGGCGGGTCCTCAGGAGCGCACTTTCTTGCATCCGTGAAGCCTGAGTCTTCGTGACGGGAGCCGGGCTTTGGTTTTTGAGCCCTCGCTGCCTCCGGCGAACCTTCAGGGACGGTGTGGGAAGGGGGCCGGGACTCCTCCTGTTCCGTTTTGCACTCACACGTTCTCCCAGTTTCGCAACTGAGGTGAAAATCCAACAGGCTTTCACGAGAATGGGTTAAAAGCGTTCTGTAGTAAGTTTGGGAGTGGGAGCATCGAAAAATGGCTCTTTCTGAGAAAAGTCGTTAAAATGACAGCTGACCGAATGATCACTGTTATCACGTTGTTTTATTTTTAAAAGAAACCGTAGACTTCCCCAATTTGGATTCGTCTGCAGGTTTTGGCTTCCAACTGCCTCCGCCTCCTATAATATTGTTTTTTCCAGTTAAGTTCTGCTTAGGTCTTGCAAATAACTATAGCTTCCTTTATGGAGACAATCTGTCTCACGTTAGTTATTTCCCCTCTATTCCCATCACATTGACTTTTTTGGGTAGTTCTGTATTCTCATTATATGTATACCGTATGTATATTCTCATTATATGTGCATATGAGGTTGGTTTTTGCTCTAGGGAGAGTTCAGGCTTTATTTGATTGAGCACCCACTTATCTGCCTTTCTGATGGTCTGTAGAATCTAAGGCTCTCATCCAACACCACATTTCAAATGAGTTGAGTTGTGTTCCAGTCTTTCTTCACTGTTTTCCTTTACGGAAATGGATGATTTTGATCTGAAGCTGGCTGAATAGCTCAGTAATTTATGTTATATTCCTGCAGAGCTAGTGGTTGGCAGTTTGATTCCCCACTGTGCCTCCAGAGAGAAGAGCCAGCCTCTGTGACCATGGGCAAGCTGCACTGTCCCAGGTCACCCCCAGAAGAAGGGAAGGGTAAACCACTTCTGAATACTGTCTACCTAGAAAAAAACCCACCGTCTCCATAAGTAAGAATCATCTTGACAGCACACAATAATTATTATATTCCAATGATATTCTTTGCTAACTCCCCACGCTGCCCTTTTTTAAAAGGCCAGAGGACATATTTTGGAAACCATAGAGGGAACATGTTTGTAGAGTAAGGGTTTGGAAATTGCAACATAGCTCTCTAGACTGCATTCTGCGGAACAGACATGGCAACATTCATTTATCTGAGAGTTAAATTGTGTGTACTTCAGTTCTATGTGTTGCACTTAGTTACATCTTTGCTTCACCATTTCATTAAGTTCAAAACAGCCTTTCAAAATATTTTGGCATGGAGGAACTACAGCCACATTCCAGTTAGTTTTTCTTCTGCCGTCTTACAGCAGCCATAGTGGGGGATCATGTGATCGTCTTCTGGGGTCCTCTAGCACTGAGTAATTTCTACCTGAGGAAAGTTTCTGTTGGAATTTATGTATAGTGTATGGATACTGGTGTTTGAATAAATGTCTATTTTAAAAAGCCAGGAAATTCAGTTCTTCAAAAAACCTTCAGTTTATGAATCTGGGATATTGTGCTTCTGTGATTCAGAATACCAGGAAATGCCCCAATATTGCTGCACAATATTGTGCCCACATTGCCAGCAGGAAAAGGGATGCCAGACTTTAAATAGTAAAGGGCAGCCTGAATATTGATGACACCCATGTCAGCAGTGAAGGCGGTCTACCGGATGCCCTCTTGTGCCATTCACAAAGAGACCAAGCAGGGGAAAATCTTAGAACCTGACTCCTTTTTTCATCAGTGAACTACTTCTCACTCAAACACAAAGCAATTGCCAATACTATTTTTAAATAAATATGGGTGACTATCAAGTAACATGATGAAAATTTGGCTTGCAGGGGAGGCATTGACAGTGACCTATCCAAATGATCAGTCACGTTAATGTATGAACTAGCTTTTGAGCTAATTGCAGATGTATATGGAGGGAAGTGGCTTTGATGTCACATTTCAGATCTTGAATTTTGCAGATTCAGAGGATGAAGTCTCTTCCTCTTTTTTTCTCATCTACATCAAGAATCTTACTTACTGAAGCGTGGTGTCAAAACTTGATCTTTGTTGCTACTCTAGTTTTTTAACTTTGGATACTGCCAAATTTCAGATATAAGGTGATGTTTCATAAATATCTGCTCTTAAGGAGGAGACCAAGAGAATAATTGACAATATTTTGTGCTCCATTCATCTTGAGGTAAAGCAGCAACTCAGCAAATACAGAAAGGTGGGGGATGTTGAACTCAATTTAACATAAAGGTTTCAGTACAAAAGAGAGAGCCAATCAAATGCCCTTTTCACTTTCTTCCCCAAAATGTAAGTAAATCCCCAATAAACATAATCTTGCAAAGAAAGGCTCATAGTGCACAACCCTGACAGTGATTTAAAACAAGATACTTTACAACAAGTATCAATACTTTTCTTTTAGCCTTCTCTCAAATTGTAGATGTGTTGTGCTCCACTCTAGAGCTGAAAAGAATATCAACCCTGAAAGGATGTGACTGAAACTTATTTGTCATCACAGATGGCTGGGGGTGCAATGCATCAGGTTGCTTGGGGCAGATGCATTTTGAATTCATGTAAATTCCTTGCAGTTACCAATCCAGTACCTTTCAGTTGCAGAGACATGTACTTGAGTGCGCACAATCTGAAAGACATATTCTAGGCATTTTATTACTTTGTATTATTACTTGTTGAAAAATAGGCCTGACAGTTGTTTTCCTTTTTGGGTGAGAAGTGCTCCTTGCTATGAAAAGCTTGGCGTGCTTTTTTCCTGCTGGTGACACAGGCATGATATTGTGCAGCAATGTTGGGCTATTTCCTGTAATTTTGAATCATGAATACAGAAACACAATATCTCACATTCATAAATCAGAAGGGAGGGTATTTACTGAAGAATGTAATTTCTTTACTCCTTTGTCATGGTGTCTCTGCTCATTTTAATCCAATGAGAGTTAAGATTGGTTAAGCCCATTAATTTAATCGTGTTATGTATGTTTAAACTTGGCATTGGATGTAGGTCAGTGTGTTGTTGTTTTGTATCTACCCTGTTTTTACCTTGTCTGTGTTTATTTCATTAATAACTTTTTAGTTTTTGCCAGAGGTCAAGCGTGTAGGTTTTCTTAGTGTGTCTGAAATCAGAATTTCCTGTTTTCACCTACCTAGCCATTTAGCCTCTCTACTAGAAGTATAGAGTTTATATGTACTCAGAAAGAAGCAGAGGAAAGCCAGCAGGGAACCCGCTCTTCCCTGGCCAAATGGCCACAGCTAGGAAGAAAATAACTAGTAGAACTGTATGTATTTGCCTCATCTAGCTAGGAAGGAGGTGACACATATTTCTCTAAAATGTGTGGAAAACTTCAGAGATATGTGGGATTGAATGTGTGGGTGTTTTCAGTGTCATGATAATAGAAATCCCTAAAAAATAATTTATGATGAGAAGAAACAGGTTGGCAATATGGCAGCAGTTGTTCTCTTCCTAAAGGACAGAAACCTCCGTTCAGTTTCTGAAAGGACTGATCATTTTCAACATAGTTCAAGTTTTCCCCCTGATGGATCACTTTAGAAGAGAACAGTTAGTTACATAAATTGAAATAATTTACTAACTGATAAGTGGAGAATCTGTCTCATGAGAATGAAAGTAACACCTAGAGTCTGTCAAATGACAATGAGAGTAACACTCACTGAAAGTAGTACTTCTTAGTAGGCAGTTATGGCGTAGCACTGTTCCGCTCTTTTGGATCTTATTTAAAAGAACAAGGGGCACACGGTCTTCCCTTCTTAAGCTGCAGATTTGCTTCTAATGGGTGGGCTCATTCATATTGCCATTAACAGTGTCTTTATCAGGGTTTAGTGGTGAATTGTCCATTCCTTGAATATCATCCCTAGTATATTTGTTCATCCATTTCAGTACTTGCTCTATGATACATGTATGGAGGTGAGTGGTCCTGGCTTAATTATACAGTACCATGGTTTCTATTGTATGCAAGTGGTATGAATTAGTTAACTCTGTGCTATCACAGTGCTGAAATCCAAAAGCAGATTTTACTAGAAATGGAAAAAGCACTTAAAAATCAAAATAAGTCATATGATCAAGATGGGGAAAATGGATTATAGATTGAGTATTATCTTTATGGGATCACTAAAAATTTACAAACAAGATGAGCTTTCAGATCTTCCAGAACTCCCCTTCATACATGGGTTTAGCAGATATGTAATTCATATTTAATTATAATTAGTTATTATCCATGGTGTTCTAAAACCTGCTTGGTACCTGGTTTAAACTTCAATAAATTGAGTTTCTGCTGGTCTACATCTGTTGAGCCATGAAACCAATACTAGGCAGTGTTGCGATTCTTAAAGAATAATGACACATACATTCAGTAGTTTTCTGAAACTTTTATGTAAGAATGCTTTTGTATTGATAAAATGTTAGGTGAACCTGAGGTGTGCAACCAGAAATAATGCCACATTTAAATCTGATTAGCCTTCTTATCAAACGAATTGGAGGTAATGTGTTTTTTATAGTAACTCTGAAAGATAAACATGTAATTCTAATTAGAATTGGTGTTGTTACGTGCCATCAAGTTGCTTCTGGCTTATGGCAACTTTATGAATGAGAGATCTCCACAATGCCCTGTCCTTAACGACCTGTTCAGCTCTTGTAAACTCAAACCTGTGGCTTCCTTCCATCTTGTATTTGGTCTTCTTCTTTTCTTGCTGCCTTCAACATTTCCCAGCATTATTTCGTTTTCCACAGAATTCTGTCTCCTTATGATGTACCCAAAGCAGCCTCAGTTTCAACTTTTTTGCCCCCAAAGATAGTTCAGGCTTCATATGATCTAGGACCCACTTGTTTATCTTTTTGGCAATCCAGAGTATTTGTAAAGCTCTTCTCCAGCATCATATTTCAAACAAAACAATTTTCCCCTGTCAGCTTTCTTTCCTGTCCAGCTTTTGCACCCATGGTGATCAGGAATGCAATCGTGTGGATGATCTTATTTATTTGGTTTCTTTACTGCCCATCTGGCTGCAGGGCCACTCTGGATGGTTTACAACTAAAACTGATAAACAATATTATGAAACAGTAAGCACAATAACAATCAAAATTAAACATCAAATAAACATAGATTAGCAACATAAGTAAACTAAAAATAAATAGGACAATTTAAAGGCAAGATGGTGGAATGGGTAGTATAAAACGCTGAAGTGTGTAGCATTATTATGTTAAATACCCTGGGAAAGCCCGCCGAAAAGTCATGTTTTCAGTGATCACTTAAAACTTTCCAGTGAAGGGACCAGGGCAATTTCAGGTGGGAGGTTGTTCCAAAAACAGAGCCACTGCCAAGAAGGCCTGATTTTTAGTCTTCTCTTTCCGGGCCTCTCTCAGTGTCAGTGTTCTCATCCGCCCAGACTGGGAAGATCATGTAAAACGGGCAGATTCATTGGAAGGAGGCATTCTGCCATTTATCTTAGTCTCCATTGACCAATCCTTACACTTGATGATCTTTTCAGATTCCTTAATTGCTGCCCTTCCAGTTCTTGGTCTTCTAATTTCTTGGCTGCAGTCTCCATTTTGGATTGATAATTGAACCAAGGTACATTATTTAAATTTCTTCACTATTAACATTAAAGTTGTGTAGTTATTTCTGTAATCACGTTTTTTTATTTTTCATCTTAATGTTCAACTAGAGTCCTGCCTTGGCACCGTCTTCTTTCACTTTCACTAAAAGTCATTTCTAGTTAATGTTGGTGTACAACAGTGAACCTAGACATAGTAATAAAATAGAGGAGGAAGTCAGATAATTTAAAGCGTAAGAAAACTGTGATCTTGTTCAGATAAGCTAAGCTTTTGGAACAACATTTTACAGAACTGGAATATTAGCAGAGTGGTATGCTAATAACACCACTACCAATACTGTGTTTGGTAGTGTTATTAGCATACCACTCTGCATCTGGGAAGAGCTCCTCCAAACAATCTGTAACACATATTTGAATTCTTTAATCTAAAATTTTGTTTGTTTCCCTGAAGAAAGCATTATGCATTATTACAAGTGCTACCTACTCTTAAAATGTTTAATTTGTGGTGTTAGTTAGCCATTCCTTCTGTCAAGCTACTCCTCTACTTCATTCCTCCTCCCACTTTTTTGGTGTGAATGCCCTGGCTAGTGCCCAAAGATACAGTGTGGACAATCACAATATAGAAACCCCTTAAGCGAAAAGGTGTCCTGTCTTTTTCGTTGAGTTGCATGGCAGCTAATTTTTCTTTAAAGCAGTCCCATGAGAATCTTCAGCTTGCCCCACCTGCTTTCTTTTGTCTTTCATATGCAGCCCTCAGTTGTATGAGGTTACCTTATCTATCTATAGAGCTAGCTAGCTATGCTCTTTAAAATGAGATAAAGTATCTTCTTCACGATAAACTTTCTGTAGCTTTCAGTATTGACAATATTGGTTTTGTGAGTCTTAATGTTAGGCACAAACTGTTCTTTATTCAACATTTTGACCGTCTTGCTGTTCAGCATTCTCTATATGTAATTTTTTTTCATGTGTCAAGAAAAGAATTACTGATACCAGTTTTACTCTTTTTGCCATAAGCTTGACAGCAACACAGCTTCTTGCAAAGTTGGATGTCAGCAGCTCCCTGTCAGTTTACAGCATCCATCTGTTTCAGTTCATAGTAGAGTTGAGACACACATGGTACCTTTTGTGTGACTTAGAAGTTTATGTTCTCGTGCCTGCAAAGATGTAGGAAATAGTACAGTGGCTATTAAAACGTTTGTTTGTTTTTTCTTTCTGTCTTTCTAGGTTGACAGTTGCCTTTTTTGCACTATCTGGTCTGGATATGCTGGATTCCTTGGATGTGGTAAATAAGGATGATATAATAGAATGGATTTATTCCCTACAGGTCCTTCCCACAGAAGACAGTGAGTGAGTTTTTAGCTTTTATCTTATTGACATTTCATTATATTTGATTTTACTGTTTCTAGCTTTTGAGAATGTCCCTAGTTTATAATGTTGCTCAGCACTTGCATGTTATAAATTCTTAGCATTTTAAATATTTATGTACTCTTATCCAGGCTGTAGAATGGTGCAGTATAGCATTGTACTCTGCTAAGTGTGGCTTTACCAAGAGTATGACATAGCTGCAGATGTGTTGGGCATAATAGGTTGAAGTTTCACACAGGGACTATTTCTTTTAAAAAGGTGTTACTCTGATAGTGCTAAAAGAGGTTTTTTTTTGTTGTTCGTTATATATTTCTTGCTATTGTCATCATTATTATTGAGCAGTAGGTTTTTTTTTAAATGTTAGTAGCAGTTAGTAACTGTTGAATTGGCTGAAGGTTACACAGGCTCATTCTTTTCCCAGGAGACCCACTGGGCAGTTGAACTCCCAACTTTTGACTCTGGAGCCAGATACTGTACCTGACTCACTGAGCTATCCAGCCACTTTTCCAAAAACTGGTATCTTTGATATAAAGAGACAAACACTAGATGGTGCTGTGTCATAAGTCATTTTGAACAAGCCACATTGTGTTTCAATAGCTTGCCCCAAGAGCAAAAAAGTTTTGTAGCACCTTAAATGCAAACTAATGTATACAGCTTATGCCATTAAAGCTTATATTATAATAAATATTATGATATAAACCTTACATTACAATGAATCTTTAAGTATTATAAAACTCTTCTTGCTTTTGCTTTAAATGGCAGTAATTCAGCCAACTTTGTGTTTGGCTTTTCTTAGTTTCATTTCTAACAATAGCTGACTGAAATATTACCCGAGTATGAAATTATGTTCTTCATTGTACATTAATATCTTGTTTCTTAACCACAGTATCTGTAAGCCTATCATGAACGGTATTGATGAGAAATTTCTTTGTAACTGTTTTTAGCTTCTTTTCTGTCATCTCTGAATCTATTTTGAAATTGTGAAGCTTCAGAATTAGCTTTAGACAATCTTCCTAAATTGTTACCATGAAATGTCATATTGATCCAAAATACCTGCTGTTTTAGTTTTACTGGAGAACTCCTTCTTGATGGATGTTTCCCATAAATTTGACATGGCATCCTCTTGATTAATTTATTGGATGCTTAACTAAAATCTAGAGGCCTATAGATATTGTAAGATCAGTTTGAAAATGTAAGTTTCAAGTAACAAAGACACTGATGCTACTTAAAAAACAAAAAAAAACACTTGACATCATTAGTTTTCAAAGTGGTAGCCATTTTAGCCTCTTTCAGAAGGTATAATGCAGGCAAAACTAGAAACAGAAATAAAGTATTAGTCTGAGGAAGGGGATTGTCATCTGCAAAAATGCATGTTGAAATAAATATGTTATTCCTTCATATCCAATAATTTTGCTTGTGTTTGTTTGTTTTGTTTTGTCCTTGTCCTTGTTTTGTTACATGCTGACCCTCACCAGTGTTCTCATGGGCTGTCAAATGCAGTACCTAGTCGAGTGTTAGTGAAAGATCAGTGATGCAGTCATGCTACCCTGCATGGTGTTGAAATATTGGTGCTGTTGCCTCAGTGAAATCACTCTTTCTGTACCCTTCTTTCAAGTAGCTGCTGTCTCATGTCTCTCCTTCAAAACCACTTTCCTTCACATCTCATAGGGATATTTTCACCTTTTTGGTGGGATGTGAATCTTGTCCCATCTCACGCATGATCCAGGGGAAAGAGAGGCAGCTCGCCCTCTTGCTAGCCTGCCTTGGGACAGCTTGAGTGCTGCTTGGCTTCCTGTGCTCCATTCTTTGTCATCGTGTGTGTACAATGTGTCATCTAGAAAAGGAGCTGTCCTGCAGCTAGTCTATTGGGCTGCTTGAAAAACATTCCTTCTTCCTCTGTCTGTCTGTGTGTAAGTGTGTGCTCTGCAGTATTCTGTTGCTGAGCTCAGGAGACACAGGAGGGGCCAGAGTAGAAGTGTGTGGGAGATACTAGGAAAGCCATGACAGCTGCCATTCTCTTCACACTTCACAAGCCATGCAAGAAGAAAGTGGGGATGCTGGTCTCTGGAGGGTAGCTTCTCTTTTTTTCCACCCATGGATTACAGCCTCTTCCCCCCATAATAATAATAATAATGTGCTGTCAAGTCAGTTCTGACTTGCGACCTTTTTCCGGGTTTTCCAGGTAGAATCTGCTCAGAAGGGGTTTACCATTCCCCACAGACTGGCTCTTCTCCTTGAAAACACAATGGGGAATTGAATTCCCAACCTCCAGTTCTGCATCCAGATACCTAACTCTCTGAGCTATCCAGCCAGCTTGTAGATTTGGAACATGTGAATGTGTGCATGCGTGTTGAGGGAGTAAAGTGTGTGTTTCGGTCTCTATGTGTATGAATATATGTATATGATCTCATATAGGTGCCCCACACTCTTGAATATGCAACTATGCTAATGCAAAATATTCAGTAACAGTTAAGTTTATACTTCAATACATTTCTTGTTTTTAATATGACAGAAGAAATCTCTCTGTGCTGCAGCCAGGGATTTGTTAAGAAAAAAAGCTGACATGATGAAAAATTTAGACCTGGTTATTAAAGCTAGATGTAGTTGTCAGTAGGGAGGCATTTTACCATTCTTCAATGCAAACTATAGACATACTTCTCTTGAACTACTAAGCTACATTACCGGAACAGTCTTTGTTACCATGCCACTAATACTGCCTGTAGCGGGCCACTCTGGAGCCTCTACCAATACAGGCCTCCTAGAGTGCTCACTACTCTTCTTCTACTGCTGCCACCAAAGTTTATTCAGTAATCAAAAAGGACACGTGTTTCTTCTAAAACAAAAACTGAGTTTATTGATTTGACAAAATAAAAGGAGTGAATCACAGGTAGTAAATCAAGTTGTAAATCAAGTTTCTCATTTAATGTACCACACACAGACTTTTCCCTCACTGACTGTCTCTCACAAATGTACCTCACTCTCTCAAACTATTTATCTCATCTCTTCAAACTCTCAAAAACTCTCTCACACATCACACCCCCCCTTATATAATCCAGCTCCTCCCCCTTCTGCACAACCCTCCGTCCTCTCATTGGCTGATGTTCCACGGCCAAGCTGTAACTGACAGGTGAGAGCAGAGCTGTATGTTACACTGCCATACCCTATAGTGCTTTTATGCATAACAGCACTTTTATTTTGCTTTTTAAAATTTTCCTATCCTGTGATGTGCCCCAGCAGAGTCATTTAAGCTCTTTCTTAGTCCCTTTTACTCTTCCTACTCCAGAAGGAAACAACGTTTTGCACTAGCTGTTAACAGTTTTCTCCTTCCAAGACTGAATACTGTACAGGGAAGGATGAAGGGACTGTTTTGTGAAGAATAGAGCTATTGCAAGTTGGAGTGGGGGTGGGGGTGAAAAGTAGATTTATCTTCTGGAGGAAAAGATTAAGATCCATAATCACTTTGAAAAGAGATTTTTGCTGGTCTGTCATCTGGCATATATGAATCCTTTTCTTAGAATGTCTGCAAAGCTTGCTCATAAGAAACTAACTGAGGGTTAATTGAGACAAGTAGCTGAATGGGAATGAAAGATAAAACCGTATCAGTGTTCTAATATTGCATTGTACACTTGTTACCATAAGAGTGCTGAGGTTTTGCTTAATCTTCAGAGATGTATGGTATGTTTGACTTGTGGGGAATCAATGCCATTTCCCCTATAAACTCCTTTCGTTGAGTTTTTGTGGTTTCATCTTGACAGATTATGTTTCCTTGCCTACAGAAAAATTAAAAAAAATGTATTTTTCTTTTAATTACTGGTGACAGTGGGAGGGCATAATGTCTAATTACATGTGTAACGTATAAATGTAGCTTAATGATGAATTGGAAGTAAAGGACAAAATCCTGTTGGTGCAGTTACACTGACTAGATCTGGATAATGAGAATCTAAATTAATTCAAAGCTTCCCCCTGTTTCAGATTCTGAGGCACTCAGGGTTCTGTTTTGCCCTTGAAGAGCCTTTGGTAGTCTCAGGATTGGGGGAGCCTTTTAAAAAAATCCCTTTGCCAATGGTTCTGATCCCAACAGTAGTGACCTGGTGGCAATTTTTGACTGTTAAAGGCTCCCTGCCCCCCATCCCCATTGTCAGGCTATCACAGGCTTGTCCATGGCAGAAAGGAGTCTTAGGGAGAACCTGAAACAGGGGGATAGAAAACTTTCAATTAATAAAAATTGTTGCTGGTATTTGGATCTGGTTTACTCTGGGATAACTACTCAGTGAAGATAGGAGGGCCTGGCGAGCTCTGGTCCATGGGGTCACGAAGAGTCGGACACAACTAGAGTAGACCAAATAGGCGGGGTATAAATCAAATAAACAAACAAGCAAACAAACAAAATGACTAAACAACTACTACTCAGTGGGATTTTACCAAATGAGGTCTGTACAGTGCTGGTGTTCTGCTGTTATATATTTTTGTTTGAAGGTTAGTAATTTGACTTTTGAAGTTTTTAAGAACTCTAGAATGGATACTGTCTAGACTCAATGATGCGTGTTTTAGTTTGTCAGTGAGGGCTAGAACTAGAGCTTTGCCTTGTGTCGCCACTGTATACCTCATGTGAGTCATGGGTAGGTGCTGTACATCATTTGCATTAGATAGAACTATTAATTTACAGTTATTTCTACAGCCACTGTGTGATTAATGCATTTCTCCTGGCTAATTAAGAATTGGACAGCAGGCCTGTGTTTCTTCAGTAACTGCTGGAGCAGGAGTTCCCATGAGCATGCATGCTTTGCAGCATTGCTCTTTCAGTTAGATATAATGCTTTTAAATGTTCAGAGAACATTACTGGGATCCCAGGCACCTGATCTCCATCATATGATTTTAGCTTTCTTTATCTTGGTACTAGCACTAATGTTTGTACTTATATCATATCTTTAAAAACAGTTGGGGTTTTTTTGTTTTGTTTTTGCTTTGTTTTTGTCTCTTCAGAAATTAATTGGGCTTTGTTGGTGACAAAAGGAAGTTACTGTATATGCGAGTTCATGAAAATTCTTCAAATAATTGTTTGAAATAGTATATTGTATCTGGTGTAGTAGAACCCAGGTGGCACTGTATCATAAAACTTTTAAGTTGCTATCCAGCCGCTCCGGCCCCATGCCCACCCCCCTATTGAGGGGACAAATACAAGGGAGACAGCTTGAGGTATTGGGAGAGGTTTATCTATCCGTTTCCTTGGCTAGAGGGTTCAGCATAAAATGGCTTCACTTTCAAGAACTCAGCGTTTTTTGCAACATTGCAGTCATTATGATTCTGGGTTGGTTGCTGTATCAGAGGTCAGTTCCAGACAAATTGAATGTGTCTGGGACTGACCTTTAATACAACAGCCAACCCAGAATGAGTAGAACTCATGTTGAAGAATCACAAATTTGGTGGCACCAGGACTGACTGTAGTGTGACAGGCAAAGCTAACAGTATGTAGTTCTGAAATTCAGTTGAATTAGTAGTGAGCTGCAGTAAGATTTTAAATTTTAGTTTAATTGTTGAATGTCAAATTCTGATAATTCCTAAAAATATACTCTGCCTCTATTTTACATTCGAAGGAATGTACATAGCAAACTTTTTTTTCCCCTTCCCAAGGATCAAACATGCATCGGTGTGGATTCCGTGGTTCTTCATATCTAGGAATGCCGTTCAATCCATCCAAGGTTAGTGATTCCTGTATGAAGAAACAGTCTATTCTCATTAAAAAAATTAACCAATGAAAAAAGAAACTGGGAATGGTGGGAGCAGGTGATTACCCCCTCCACTAAACTATAGTAGGAGTCACATGAAATTCCCAAACAGTTGAGCACTGCATGAACGTGTCATGATATGCTGTCTCTTTTTAAGTTTTGTGCAAGTTACTTCCTACTTTGCAGCACAGTATAGTTTATTTCTTATATTTAAGTTACGCGTGTCATATGAACAAGGATTGATCCAGGTGTGCAGGGCAAGGATAAAGTACTTTGCTTGCTTTAAAATGTTTAATTTTTTCTGAATTGTCTTTCAAGACAAAGCCCGTTCAAAGTGGATTGCAAAATGGAAATCTAAAACAATAATTTTGGAACATTGTTCACTATTACATCCAAGGCAACTATATTTTTGAGGTAACTATTTGAAATAATTTGGAGAAATTAGTGCATGACCTAAGGCTTGCTCATAGAATTGGAGTAGTATTCAGTAGCTTTGTAATCCAACAGACTTCTCAGGAAGTCTGGAAGTTAGAATATCCCCAACAGATGAAGTCTAACATCTGCTTGAAGACCTCCAAGAGGGAAAGGAGGCCCTGGAACTGTGATTCAGAGCCCATATGAGTGGTTCTCTTGTCAAACACATGTTACCATCAAAAGGTTTCAGTAAATATTCAGTAAATAAAATCTGCCTTCATATTACTGAATTCCTATTAGAGCTAGTCCTGTCCTCTGAAATAGTAGAGAATGAGTCTTCTGTGAGGTAACTGCTTGGGTGCTTGAAGAATACTGTCTTTATTACAGTTTGTGATTTGGAAACCATGGTTCTGTGATTAGAGCCTAAAATTACATTAATCTTTTTTAAAGTCACATCACATTGATTGATTTTTACCTTATAATTTACTACAAATTGAAGATTATTTTCTCATGTATTACCAAGCCTCTTTAAGTACTTATGAATTTAATTATATGTATTTTCTCCTAAATGCAGGGATTTGCATTTCTCTCCACTGGGTTTCATTTTGCCAGTTTTTAAACTAGTTTTTAATTCTACTACAGTCATTTTCATTTTATTCTCTTATTGGTTAGGTAACTCCCAGGTTTTATCATTTGCAAATTAGATAGGGATTTCTTCCACCACTTCACACTAGGCAGTGGTTTTGACATTGTGTAAACTCTTGAGACATAGGAGTTGCAAACTGACATGAACATGGTGAGCCCTGTTCTTTGACACACACTTTGCATAGAATCAGCTAAGCAGTAAAGCTATGCAACCTCCGTTCATCATGTGAATTTGTAAGACTTTCTTCAGGGTCTGTGGAAATAAAAGCCCGATACTGAGCAGGAATGCTTGCTACTATGTGTAAGTTTTATTTGACTGTTGTATTGGAATGATGAAGTTTCTGAGCATATACAAGCCAAATATAATGATGATGGTTTTAATTCAGTTGGCATTAACTGAATTAAAGCCAACTCTCTTTAAAATGCATACCAGGTGTGGTCATTCTCTTTGCATCTTGGTGTTAGACAAAAAGTTTGGTTACTTTTGCTTCAACAGATGTGGATTCATGCTTCACTTCAATACAGTGGTGCCTCGCTTAGCGATCGCTCCGTTGAGCGATGAATTCACATAGCGAGGGGGTCCGGGCCATCGCTGGAGCATTCGCTCAGCGATGGGCCCTATGTTTTTTTTTCGCTGTGCGATGATCGTTAAGCGAACCGCGGTTCGCTTAACGATTTTCGCGTAGCGAAGCCGCGTGGAACAGCTGATCGGCGGTTCCAAAATGGCCGCCGGAACTTTTCACGCCGTGCCCTCGCTTACCGAGGGTGCGAAAATGGCCGCCCCTATGGAGGAGCTTCACTCAGCTGTGAGTTTTGGGGCCCATTGGAACACATTAAACCAAGTTTAATGCGTTTCAATGGGTTTTTTCGTTCGTTGAGCGATGTTTCCCATAGCGAGGGTTAATCCGGAACGGATTAACCTCGCTATGCGAGGCACCACTGTATTGGGAGCTATATATTTGAATGTAATATACTAAATCAGGTTCCACTTGATTGGTATATAATTTTTATCATGTCCCTTTGATGAAACAAATTGTGTAGTTCTGCACATATTTTGTAGATGGGTTGATGATGTAGTTGTGGTTAAACTTGGTTATTTGATGGCATTGTGGCAGCCGTCACAAGTGGAGCTTCCATTGATGATGTAGTTGTGGTTAAACTTGGTTGTTTGATGGCATTGTGGGAGACGTCACAAGTGGAGGTTCCAGAGCATAAGATTCCTTAAGCGGCTTACAACAAAATATAACAATATAATTAAAAACAGTTTATATAAAGGAAAAATCTTTGGGCAAAATGGGAGAGAGACTAGGAAGAGAAAAGAGAGGAGAAATCGGAAATTAGTGATTGGCTGAGGGGAAGGCTTGCCAAAACATCAGTGTTTTTAGTTGATTTTTAAAAATACCCAGCGAGGGAGCCACACGAATATCAGGGGGTAGGTTATTCCAGAGGTGAGGAGCCACCGCCGAGAAGGCCCGATTTCTTGTCTTGACATTAACAAGAAGAGTCCGGCAGGATCAAATGAAAGACTTTTCTAGTCCAACATTGTGTCTTCACATTGGCCCACCAAATGCCCATGAAAAGCCTACATTCTCTTGATTGAGTGCCATCTGCAGTGTTCTACTCATGTTTCCAAGCAACTGTTATTTAAAGAAATGCCTTCCACTGGGAAGTGTCATGTGCAAGTGTCATGACTAGCAGTCATTGATAGCCTTTATTCAGTCACATTGTCTAGTCCCCTTTGAAAACTGTCCTTGTTGGAAGCTTTCACTGCATGTTGTGATGACAAATTCTCCAGTTTATTTATGTACTTCATTCTTACCATTCTCCTTCACTAGGTAGTCCTGAGTTCAGGTATTACAAGAAATGAGAAGAACTTCCCCACATTGTATATAATTTTGTTTGCTTCTTCTGCCTGTTTCAAAGTTAAACTGCCCCATCTATTGTAACCTTTTGACAAAGGGAGTTTCTCGACCTCCCTCATAATTTTGGTTGCTATTTTCTTCACTTTTTCAAGGATTGCAAAATACTTTTTCAGGTGCCATGTACTCCCCATTGTAATAGTGCCTGTTAAGAGGCATCTGTGTGCTTGTCTGCTGGCATGCTGACTGGATGGACAGAGATGCTATTCCAAGCATTTCTGTTTGCCATTGTCAGTTCTTGTGAGGAAGGCACAAAAATAGATGTCCTTGTAATAAAAAATATGATGGGCAGAGGCTCCAGCACATGCTCACATTCTTTATTGTTATTTGAGATACAAAGTACTTCTTTAAAAAGGCTGGGTAGGTTTATAAAGGAAAAATTCCACATAAGAAATCTGACTTGTATCATATTGATGTTTGCACTTAAGTCTATCCTAGATGTAGCCACTAGCCCAGCTGTGTGACCTAGAATCTTTAATATAAATCCCAGAGAATGGTGTTAGGGTGACACCCTCTTATCTGGAGTGCTGGCTTTCAAGCAGATTAGCTCATGAGAATTTCTACTTCATTTCTCAAATCTTTTGTTATTTTGCATTAAGAAGTGGTCTGAGTGAGTTGTTCAGTATTCTCAACTGAAATTTATCACTATACATCTATCGATAGTTGCAGTGATTGAAGTTTGTCATCTAGAACTGCACTAAACCATCAGTTTTAGAAATCCATGCAAAGTACTTTTGGTGTTAGAACTATGCCTGATCTTTAAATAGCTGGATACTATTGCTTGCACAGTTGTGGGTCACAAAGAGGGTGGGCATTTATATATAGCCCTAGTCCTTGGATGGTTTCCTTCTGAATAATGAGGGTTCAGGAAATGACCTTAAATTTCCTCTAAAATATATGCTTAATTTATTATGAGCATAAAATCATATAATTTTTTAACAAACTAAAATTTGAATTATCTTGTGTTTCAGGCTCCTGGTGTTTCTCATCCCTATGATAGTGGACACATAGCAATGACTTACACAGGCCTCTGCTGCTTAGTTATTCTTGGCGATGACTTGAGCCGAGTAAATAAAGAAGCATGCTTGGCAGGACTCAGAGCTCTCCAGCTGGAAGACGGGAGGTACAGTGAATTCTGTGTTGCAAGGCTTTAAATATTTTTAGAAGGAAAAACTGGATCAAAACACATAATGTACAGTACTTTAAAGTACACATTGGCCAGGCTGTATCCAGCTTGGAGGAAGATGAGATGTGAACATATAAGCAAAAAGGAAAGATCTTCCTCTTGCTTGTGTGTTTTGTCTTTCCTCCAGGGTAGACAAACTGAGATGGGGAGGTGCCAGTGAGTAGAATGGTCATTCTTAAGCCTCTTTCCCATTTCATTGGGGATAGGAAGAAAGGGCTGCACTTCATCTTTGAGTGATATAATTAATTGAGGGGTTCAAAATTCAGTCTTTGCAAGTCAGCTACTTGAGAGGCCGGAGGCTAACAAAAACTGCTTTTAGAGAAGTTAAAGATAAAAACGTTGAGGAGATTAAGGTTCTTATAAACCTGAGTTGTGGGGAGAGGTATTGTATAACTTGCTGGATGATTTTAGTTCTCTGTCAGAGCAACTTGATACATATTTGCCTGTACTGAAGTCTGACATTTCTTAGTGTCTCAGGCATGTGTGTTGTTACAGTGGACCCTCGACCTATTGGAACGGTGTCGAAAATTCCGTAGGTCGAAAATGCATTTCCCATAGGAATGCATTGAAAACCATTTAATCCGTTCCGGCCCAAGAAACTCCCCCCCACACACAAAAATTAAAATAATTTTTTAAAAAATTAACCTTTTCAAAGCCTTCCAGGGGTCCCCGCCACCGCCATCGCCGCTGCCGGAGGACTCCGAGGGCTTCGGCGCTGCTGCCAGAGGCCTCTCGGAGCACCATCGCCACTGCCAGAGGACTCAGAGAGCTTTGGTGCTGCTGCCGGAGGCCTCTCGGAGCTCCTCCGTCAACACAGGCTCTCCCAGGGTGGACTGGACCTACCAGGGGAAGGCTTCCCCCGGTAGGCCCGGTCTACTGCCCGGGAAAGCCTGGTAGACCGGGCCTACCAGGGGGAGGCTTCTCCCAGTAGGCCCGGTCTATTCCCTAGGCTTTCCCAGGCAGTAGACTGGGCCTTCCGGGGGAAGCCCTCCCCTGGTAGGCCTGGTCCACCCTGGGAAAGCCTTTGTCAGCAGGGGGAGGAACCTCCGGAGGCCTTCCCCACAGTCATGGGAGGCTTCTCGGAGGTCCCCCCTCACTGCCGATAGTGCTTCGGAGGCACTATTGGCAGTGGGGGGGACCTCCGAGATGCCTACCATGGCGACACAGAAGCCCTGGAAGACACCGGAGGTCCCCCGCCGCTGCCGGAAGCCACGCCGCACCGGGCAATCCTGGCCATGCTCAGACTCCTGGGAGTCTGAGCATGGCCGGGATCACCCGGCTTGGCTTGGCTCCCGGCAGTGGCGGCGGGGGACCTCCAGATGCCTTCCAGGGTTTCTCTGCCACCATTGGAGGCATCTAGGAGGTCCCCCCACCCACCGATAGTGCTTCGGAGGCATTATCAGCGGTGGGGGGGACCTCCAAGATGCCTCCCATGGCGGCAGAGAAGCCCTGGAAGGCATCCGAAGGCAGATCAGCGACCTATGGACTGGAAGTGGGGGGAGGCAGGTTGTAGGTTGATTCTCCGGTGAAACTTTGCGTCCGGAGAAGTCCGTAGGTCGAAAGGTTTGTAAGTGGAGCCGCACGTAAGTTGAGACTCCACTGTATTATCATCTACTCTAGAGCCCTTACTATTGTTTCCTATCCACCCATAGATGTGACTCCGATTTTTTAAAATTCCCTTTTCAATTCCATTCCATCCTCATTTGATTGTTCTCTTTAATTAGCATTATTCTCTCTATCACAGTGCCAACGTTTTGGGATGAGGGAAGTGAATCTTTTGCAATTTGGGTATAGCTGGAAAAAACAATTATTTCAACATATCTATTTTTAATTTCCCATACCTAGTAGCATGTAAGTGCCCATATTCTCTAGAAAATAGATACTGGACATTCAGGGAGAAATTATAAATGCAGAATTTCCATGTGTCTGTTCTTAGGTTTGCAGGGTATAGTCCTCATTATCTCTGCAAAATGTTTCTCAGTCCCTATTAGACACCCTTCATTTTTTTTTAAATTAGCTCTTGGAAGAGTTAATTATTTAATTATTTTTTTAAAAAAATCTTATAAAAGTAGGGTAAGGTAAGGGGCAGCTGGGATGGGGTATCCTTGGAGAGGGTGGATTTGAATGGATACATTACAGATCAGTATTTTTCATAGTACAGTGGTGCCTCGCTTCACGACGTTAATCTGTTCCAGCGAAATCGCTGTAGAGCTAAATCGTCAAGCGGGGGGAACCATTGAAACCCATTGAAAACCGCTCAATGTGTTCCAGTGGGTTAAATACCTAATCGTCAAGCGAAGATCCTCCATAGGGCGGCCATTTTCTGGTGCCTGTTAAGCAAAAAATCCGTCCTAATCACAGCGAGGAGCCATTTTGCACAGCAGGCAGCCATTTTGAAACCCGGCAATCAGCTGTTTTTAGATCGTCGTAATGCGAAGAATCAGTTCCCAAAGCAGGGAACCGATCATCGTCAAATGAAAATCGCCCATTGAAACATCGTTTTGCACTCGCAAAAGCAATCGCAAAAACCTCATCGTCAAACAGATTCGTCATTTAACGAGATAATCGTTAAGCGAGGCACCACTGTAATTCTGTACATTCTCTTCTAGTAATCGTTCCACATACTGTATCAGAAAGAAGTATAAACAGTGAGCAAGAGGGAAAAATCAAATTCAGACAAATATATTGTTATTCTAATTATTGATTATGTAGCTGATAGTCTATCCATTCTCATACATTTTCCTTTTATTTCTTATTTCCCAAGGGATATGTTTCAATGTCTTCATGTTCCTTCCTTCTCTTATATATTGCTTATCTTATGTTGCTTTCAGAATTTTGTCTCTATATGTGGTTTTGATTAATCTAATTTGTACCTCTCTTGGGAGATGATTTTTTAAAATAAATTCCGAGAGTGTTCTTTTGGTTACATCTATATTCCACTTAATTTCATCCTTCTTGCATCCTTCTCCCAGTCTGACAGTAAATCAGTTGTATCTTCTAAGAGGTCTTCATTTCGAGTTTCTGGTACATTCTGTATTCTCAGAATATGCCATGCATCCTCCATCTGGATTTCAGTCATTGGTGTTTCACTTTGGTTTCATCTGGTTTCAACTTTTCCTAAGTCCTTCTGGAGTTCTATTACTTTTTTCTCCATTTTCTTTGCTAGTCTCGCTGTCTTCTGTATTCCTTGATTTTGCTGTGTCATATCCTCTTTCATTTGCCCCAATTGTAAATTCTTGTCCTCCTGTTGTTTGGAGAGGTCAGACACTTTAATTTTCAGGGCTGAAATATCAGACTTAATTTCATCAAACTTTCTGTCAAAATGGGCTGTCTGTTGGCTGAGCATGGTGCTCATGAGCTTCTCAAAATACTATTTCGTTAATAAAGAAGACTGAATTTCTTGCACCAATCTCAGTGGTATAGTTTCTGGTGCCGGACTTCCTTTCCCCACTGATACCTGCTTTTTTTTTTCTCTCCCTTCTTATATAGACTTAAATAATCTGGTACATTAGAGATAAGGAAATATGGAAGGATATGAGAGCAACCAACAAACAGAGATCCAGCAACCAACAAATAGGGATTGCCCAGTTATACACTGAATCAGACAAAGAGTCAATGTTGTTAATGAAGAGGGGAAACTTTCCTTTAGCACCTCCAAACAGGGAGAATATATCCTGAATATAATAAGTATAGTAGATATTACTCCGCTTCAAGGGAGCTATTTACGTCTAGATTTGGCAAAGAAAAAAAAAGAGACAAAAGTCAGCTAGTTCAGAGTTCTGGGCACCTTTCCAGACTTTGAGAAGAGAAACTCCTTGTCTCTTCCAGCCTTGCCACGAAGTTTCAGGAGCAGCAGGAAAATTAAAATAATAAACCCGCAAAAACTGCTTTTCCAACTCCTCCCCCAACCATGCTCAACAAAATAAATAAAATCAAGAAGAAAGAAAAATAGAATCCCATCTATTCCCTTTTGTAATCCACAATAAAGAGTTAATTATTGAAGGTAGCCTGCCATTGGAAAGTAAAGAATGGGCAAAGAGTGTAGTGAAAATTACTTCTTTTATTTTTCTAAAACAAATATTTTAAATATTCACAGCTGGTGTCTGTTTAGTGCTTGTGACAGCCCTTTTCCCTCAATGGCAAGATGTGGGGTCCTTCTTTCCTATATTTCCTTCTTTCCTGTAACTCACTCGTCTGCCTTGTCTGGCCCAGCTCCACCCACATGAACACAGTCTCTTAGCTTGCATACCATATAACTTTGCATACCATATAACTTTCATCTGCTGAGAAACCGAATCTAGAAGCTGAGAACTTGAAGCAGACACTGGCAGCTGTTCAATGCTGTACAAATTATAGTCATTTTCATGAGATAAAAAACTTAGACTTACATTTTCAGTTGTTTGTTGTATGTAATTCAGTGTGTGTGAGAGACATTGGCTGTTTTTTATGTAAATTAAGTATAAGGTTAGCTAGTATGCCTGTGCTGAACTTTAGTTTTAACTGTTTTTAACTAGGGTCAAGAGAGAAATTTCATATTTATTTCTTTACAATCAATTGAAATTTGATAAATTTTTTAAAAATCGGATTTTGTAAAAAAGTGTGCTAATATTAATCCATTCTGATATGTTGGTAGATAGCACAGTTTGACTGATAAGCACTTCCTTCTTCAAAAACATGCAGCAGAAAAACAGTGTATAAAGCCATAACTTCTAAGGTGCTTTAAAGTTTCCTACTGTATTATTGGTCATAGAATAATACTGTGTTCAGATTCAAGTGTGCTCCTCTTGGACTACTGCTGTATTAATCTACTGGAGCTTGCTGGGGCATGTGTGTGTGCCTAGTGAGAAAAGGGGAAAGTGTTTTCAGTCCTTGGGTAGGAAGATTATATAGAAAGCTTTTATATTAAAACGTGAGCACCAGCCTGTGGTTTGGACTAAAAAAGTCACTGTACTCACTCCTCCAATGTTTGACGCAGACTTTGACACTTCTTTGTGCTTGTGGCAATGAAGCATTATTAGAAAGAGGGGTTTTTGTCAGTTTTTAAGAAGAGAGAAATTGAAATGGGTGGGAGTGAAGTTTGTTGCAGAAGAGGAGGCAGAAAAAAAAATAGTATACCCTCAAGAGGTGAGTAGATGGCAGAGGCATAAAAACTGATGGGTATCGAGAGAGTGGCTTGAGACACAGGATGATAAAAGCTGAGAGTGTAGAAAAGATTGTCCTAGAATGTCCAGATTGCATAACAGGAGTGGGAGTGTAGTGTGCCTAAAAATTTACTAGCCAAGTTGTTGCTGAGGGCCACCATTAGTATCTGAAACCACTACTGTAAAACTGAAGCAAAATTTAATTTCTAATGTTGTGAACTGCAAAAACTAAGACACATATTGGATACTTAGGACATTCAGTTTTTTTACATACTTCCTGATAAGCAAACAGAAAATGTTGATGTTCGCCACTTATGTATAAGTTTTAAAAGTTGGGCAAGCTCTTGCTTTCTAGGTGAAATGGGTAGAAAAGAAATTCTGATGTGAATTGTTAAAATAACTCATCTTTAGTAATATGATACAAAAGTAGTTTGAAGGATATATACAATAAACCTTTTATTAAATATTAATAAAACCACTCAGAAATTCATTAGAAGTTGTATAAGCATCTACGTATTTCATTTGCCTGCATTTAGTGTGTAGAACACCAAAGGGATAATTAAGAACTGTGTATTGTAATAAACATTGCCATGGTGCTTTTACAAATTTCTGTCAATATTGACTTTGTCTTACTTAGAGGACCAAAATAGACTATCCTATTGCCATTTTTGAGGGAGATGTAGCCAATGTGCATCTTCTTTTCTGCTTATGCTCTGTTTTCTTTAACCTTTACGTGCAAGAAGGGATATTACAAAATTGATACAGAACTAGACCTTCAGGTGCTGCATTTCTGCATTGTAGGTCTAGTAGACAATGGTACATTGTCTCGTGTGAGCAGTCCTAAATTTTGTCTCCATGTTTCAGCCACTTGCCAGGTACAGTCATTTCCTTTCCTCCTCTTGCCTTTTTAAAAAAAATAGATTGGGGAGGGGGAAGAGAAATCCTCACAACAAGAAGGATTTTTTCCCTTTTCTTTGACACTGGCATACTTCTTTCACATCAGTTGGTGTAACGTATTGGGACAAAAATGGTCCATGTCATTTTTCACTAAGCCATGATGCATAGTAGAAATGACATACTCTAGTTATCAGTACATTGCTTCCATTCAGGAACAGGAGGAAATAGTAGAAGTATACATAGAGTTGTGTCTCCAATCCTGACCCTAATACTACTGTTAATCTTCAATACATTGGAATTCTGATAGTGGGATCAGCAAATATCTCACAGCTCACCCTTGGGAAAGCTTGTTTTGTTTTTGATCTCCTTGTACATAAGAGTTAAAAAGGTGTGTTGCCAAGGTGGGCGTTTAAATGGGGAATGGATGAAGGAACTTCAGGTTACCTTTGGTAACTCAGGTGATTTGGATGCAGAGATCCTGTCTGTGAGGTAAGCAATAAACCTCTCAAAGTAGTGAACATTCTGGTGGACTTAAGTTGTCCCTCAACAAAGAGTAGCATACTTGTGCTGGCTTTGTACAAGCAATCACCAGGTACATCTCTGCCTTGAAACAAATAGTTTACCTGTAGAAATAATTGCTTGAAGCATTCTTTTTTCCTGAACAGTAAAATAAATAATTTGAGATTCAATTTAATAGTAGAATAGCTGTTGCATAACTTCAATATTTGTTTCAGTTTTTGTGCAGTCCTTGAAGGAAGTGAAAATGACATGAGATTTATATATTGTGCTGCTTGCATATGCTACATGCTGAATGACTGGTCAGGGATGGACACAAAGAAAGCCATAGACTATATTCGACGAAGCATGGTAAGAGTTGCCCATCATCTTATGAAAATTATCCTGTTATCTGCATTTGGTTGGACTTTTCATTTCTGTGCATGAGCAAATGGTATGTAGCTTTGTGTTTATTGGAAATTAAAGCGATTTCTTTGCCAGTATTACTGCATCCCATCACACCACTTATTGCAGAATAATAATATATAGCAGAGGTCCATATCATTAGATTATTATGTACAAAAGGATGTTTACCATTTGTACTTTTATGGTGGCACCTTTGTTTTCCTTAGTAGAACTAGTACAATTTTATGGCATTGGGCAAGATAGTCTCCACTGTTGCCTGTTCTTACATGGGTACAGTGCTGATGTAGTCAGTACATGAATTTTCTGCTTGTTTCTGATATATTTGGCAAGTTAGGTTGCAGTATGTATACTGTTTCCAGGTAGTTAGCCCCACTTTCTTCTGCGTAGACATACATAAGATTCTGCTGTTAGATTCTTACAATATAATACAGTGGTGCCTCGCATAGCGATTGCTCCGTTTTACGACGAAATCACTTTGCGATGGACTTTTTGGCATCGCAAGAGCGGTCGCCTTGCGATGGCCCCTATGGGGAAAATTCACTTTGCGATGATCGCTTCCCCGCAATCATCCCAAAGTCCCCATTTTCGCACAGCTAATCGGCTGTTCCAAAATGGCTGCGGGTAAACAAAATGTCCACCCGCTGTTTTGCCTTGCTTTAGAGGCACCGAAAATGGCCGCCCCTATGGAGGATTTTCGCATAAGGTGAGTTTTTAAGCCCATAGGAACGCATTTAATGTGTTTTGATGCATTTTTAAAATCGCATAGCAGCGATGAAATCGCATAGCAGCGATTTTTGCTGCATGGATTAACATCGCTAAGCGAGGCGCCACTGTACTGTGTCTGTTTATCACAGAACTAAGATCTACCCTGTTTCCCCGAAAATAAGACCTAACCTGAAAATAAGCCCACGTGGTGGTGCTGTGGACTAAACCGCAGAAGCCTGTGCTGCAGGGTCAGAAGATCTGGCAGTCATAAGATCGAATCCACGCAACAGAATGAGCACCCGTCGCTTGTCCTAGCTCCCGCCAACCTAGCGGTTCGAAAGCATGCAAATGCGAGTAGATAAATAGGGACCACCTCGGTGGGAAGGTAAACAGCGTTCCGTGTCTAAATCACACTGGCCATGTGACCACGGAAAGATTGTCTTCGGACAAAACGCTGGCTCTATGGCTTGAAGAGCGGGATGAGCGCCGCCCCCTAGAGTCGGACACGACTGGACAAAAATTGTCAAGGGGAACCTTTACCTTTACCTATGATTTTTCAGGATGCTTGTAATATAAGCCCTACTCCAAAAATAAGCCACAGTTAAGTGAAACTGTGCCCTTCACTATTGTGCAGCAGCCAGAAGATGACATGACTGTAAAATAAAACATCCCCAGAAAATAAGCCCTAGTTGTGTTTTTTAGAGCAAACATTAATACAGTATAAGTCTCTATCTTACTTTTGGGGAAACACGGTACGGAGTTCAGTGGGGCTTAATCCTCCAGTATAAGTGAGCCTTCAATTTTCAAAAATCACCATAGAGATTATCTGTTGCATACTGTACATTAGCACACTTTTGTTGTTTCCTTTAATAATTGTTTCTGTTTACAGAACTTAGCTTCAAAAGAACTAAATACCAAACAGGGATCTTAGAACATGACTTAGTTTGAAATGTAACCAAACACCACTGTCCCTTTTTATCTTAGAGCCTTGCATGAATGTTTTGCCATGTAGTCTCTGTATTCTCTTATGTCTGAAGAAGTGGACTTGTTCCACAAAAACGTACATTAAAATATAGCAGTTAGTCTTTAAGGTGCCACAGGATCTCTTCGTCCTCTTTCTCTGTGTTCATATGTGTGTTTCAAGTTGATGTACTGAATTGTGTGGCTCAGCATACAACTCAGTATGTCTAAGCAGATTTCTGAACTGGGGGCAATTCGCTTCCAAAGGTTACACAGTATTATATACAGTATTCACAGAGCCATTTCTGGTGGTATTAATGTCAGATTTATACCAGAGTTTTAGAATTTGCTGGAGCTCCATTCCTATTATAGTTACTTTGTTGTTTTTTGTTGTTAGGAAAAATATAATAACACATAACTGAAAATAACTTACTACAGTGGTGCCTCGCTTGGCGATTACCTCGTTAGACGAGGAAATCGCTTGATGATTAGTTTTTGTGATTGCTATTGTGATCGCTAAACGATGACTGAATGGGCTTCGGGAACCGATTTTTCGCTTAACGACGATCAAAAACAGCTGATCGTCGGACCTCGCTTGGCGATTACCTTGTTAGACGAGAAATCACTTGTGATTGCTATTGCGATCGCTAAACGATGACTGAATGGGCTTTTTTCGTTTAACGTTGATCGTTCCCTGCTTCGGGAACCAATTTTTCGCTTAACGACGATCAAAAACAGCTGATCGTCGGATTTCATAATGGCCGCCCACTGTGCAAAATGGCTCCCCACTGTGCTTTAGGACGGATTCCTCGCATTACAGGCACCGGAAAATGGCCACCCTATGGAGGATCTTCGCTGGACGCTGAGGTATTTCACCCATTGGAACACATTGAACCGGTTTTCAATGCATTTCAATGGGCTTTTTTATTTCGCTTGACGAGGATTTCGCTTAACAGCGATTTGAACGAAACGAGGTATCCTCGTCAAGCGAGGCACCACTGTACAGTCAAATCAAAGATAACAAGGAGTTCCTCCATCTTGCTCAATTTGTTCCCAATTCTCTAGTGGGAGTTTGCCATGTTTCTGCTTAACCACTCTTCCTGCCAAATGGGTACAGAGTTTAAAAAGAAAATGGTGGAGGAGGGGAAAATGCTGAATACTTGTTGTCCCTTTGTTTGATTACAGTGGTGCCTCGCTTAACGATTTTAATTGGTTCCAAAAAAATATCGCTATGTGAAAACATCGTTAAGCGAAACACCATTTCCCATAGAGATGCATTGAAAACCGGATAATCCGTTCCAATTGGAACGGATTACCATCCTTAAGCGAAAATCCCCATAGGAAAAAATGTTAAGCGAAACCCATTGAAATGCATTGAAGCCTATTTCAATGGGGGGGAAAAATTCACAAAAAATTCAAAAAGACTCAGAACAAAGCCAAATTAAGTTAACGAAGGTTTTATTAGGTGCACTAACGATTCCAAGCATTTTAAACATTTTTAAACATTTTAGAATATTTTAAAAATACCAAAAACGGGGATGTAAAAAAAAGGTTAAGCGAAACAAGGGGACCTAAAACTGTCATCATTAAGCGAAGCATGGTCCCGAAAACGTTAAGCGAAAATCACCCATAGGGAAAATCATTAAGTGAAGCACAAGATTGCTCCGAAAAAGCCATCGTTAAGTGAATTTTTCGTTGTACGAAGCAATCGTTAAGCGAGGCACCACTGTACTTGGGAAAGAGATTGGCCACTGGGTAGGGATTTGAAACCTACTCTCCTGACTTGTTTATGCAGCTTGTTATTTAAGGAACAGACCTGGCATGGACATATGCCATTACATTTGAGACTTACTTTTTTTCTTCACTATTCACAGCACATCCCCCATATCTCCCGTTATTAGCTAGCTTGGGGTGTTAAGATAATCAGGTGAGGTCTTTCAGTTGCACCACTTTCACAGGTGTGCTTGGGAGAGAGCTTTCTCTGTTGATGCTCTCAGACCCTGGAGCTCCCTCCCACAGGAGGCCAGCCTGGCCCCATCTTTGCAGTTATGCTGCAAGCAGGCAAAGGCCTTTCTCTTCAAGTAGGCCTTTCTTGAGTGACTGACTGTCTAGGAGAATAAAGTATAGTAGGACCGCTGTATTCGTGGTTCACTACCCACAGTTTCACTTATCCACTGAATGAATGAATGAGTGATGAATGAGTGGATAAATAAACAAACAAACCCAGAAATACTTGTTCCTGAGGTGTACCCTCTTTCCTCTAAAATAAGACCTAACCTGAAAATAAGCCCTAGTATGATTTTGCAGGATGCTCATAATGTAAGCCCTACCAAAAATAAGCCCTAGTTAAGTGAAACCCCGTCCTCCACCATACAGCAGCCAGAAGATGACATGACTGTATATGAATATATAGATTGTTATACATGAAAAAAAATATCCCCTGAAAATAAGCCCTAATGTGTTTTTGGAGAAAAAAATTAACACAAGACCCCGTCTTAATTTCGGGGAAACAGGGTATTACCAGAACTGGCCACTAGATGAAACTAGAGACTATACTATATACAGGTGGCTTAATGAAAATGCACTTATAGCCTGATGTCTTTGACAGAAGCAGTTGTGAGTAAAATGGAGAGGCTACATTTGGGAGAGTGGGAGGTGGCAGTTGGTTGCTTCAGGGAAGCCTTCCTTGCAGATAGGAGGGCAGGAAAACCTTTTGGGATTTTACTCCAAAGTAAATGAAATCATACAGCTCATGATGGCAGATTACAAGCAGTCAGCAAGGTGCTGATTACATGCCTGGTCATGTGCCAATTATACAATGTGTACCTTGTTAATTAGCTGTGATTCACTGTTGAAACTAATGCAATTTCTCATTCTTTAGATTCAAATTTAAATAATTTTAAATTTCTTCCCTCAGAGAAGCCTGGGGAGTCAGTTGACTGTAGGTTAGCCATAAATTCCTTCTTGAAAAGGGATCTTCATAAAGCAACCTCTGTCCTTAATTGTGTCAAGAATCTGATATGTTGAGCCTAGAGTAGAACTTGCATAGTTAGCATAGTTAGCACTTGCATAGTCATTGAAATATACTTGAGTATACTTTTGAAAAGTGGAGTGTTCTCCAAATGCTGTTCTTAGTAAGCAAGTTGAACAAGTGGCACATTTTTAATTAGAAATATTTTGCCATTGCAACTTATTCCAATAGTATTCTTGCATTATGTACCAAGTATAATTTAATGTGAAATGCTATTGAAACAAAGATTACTGTACTTATTTTGGTCTCA